GAGAAGCCACATCCATGGCCGTGGACCATGAGCCAATGGGGCCAGGAGCCATGGGTTCAGTGGGGGGCGGGGTGTGTGAGGGGTGGGGGTGGGGGTTGGAAGTGTGGGTGGGTGGGGGTGGGGGTTGGGGGTTGGGGGTGGCAGGGTGCGTGCGGTATGGGGGTGGGGGTTGGGGGTTGGGGTGGAGCAGGGGCCATATAAAGGACCAGCATTGGCAGCCATGCAGGTCGAGGGATGAAGACTGGGGCCAAGAGCCAATGGGGCCAGGAGCCATGGGTCCAGTGGGGGGGCAGGGTGCGTGGGGGGTGGGGGTGGGGGTTGGAAGTGTGGAGCCATGGGGCCAGGAGCCAAGCATGGGCGGTGGGGCAGGGTGCGTGCGGGGTGGGGGTGGGGGTTGGGGGTGGGGGTGGAGCAGGGGCCATAAACAGGAGGGATGGAGAATGGGACCAGGAGCCATGGGTCCATGAGAAGCATGGCGGGGTGAGCGAGGCACTGCACAACGAAGCAGACAGCAAGGGCAGCGAGGCACTGGGCGAGGAAGCAGACAACGATGGGTCTTCACTGACGCCGCCCCCGCTCCGGCTGGGGTCGGCGGATAAGAGGTTTTGTGTTTTTGTTTCTAGGGCCCATCCTAAGGGACCATGTAGCGACCCGCCTCGGCTGCTGCACCAGGCTCACCCCCGACGCGATCTCCGGTGTCGGGCAGCCCCAAGTCCAGGCTGTCGGGCAGTCCCCGGTCCAAGGCCTCCTCTGACCTCTGCGGCTTTTGCTTACTGCTTGCTTTCTTATCTGTTGCGCTTAAATCTATTGAAGGAATGTTTTTTGGGTTTGAGTCATCTCTTGTCGACCCTGATGCCTGATGCCATCTTCACTGAACCAGAAGGCAGTCTAGCAGCAGCACCACCTGGACAAGAGCTGTCCCTTGTGAGAACAATCAGAAATGTGGCTATCAAGAGCCAATGCGTCTTTGTGGAAGTCGGAGAGTATGCCGAGACGCCAGCAGATAAGATTCAAAGACGTCAGCAGTTTGCCCAATCTCCCTCACCCTCCCAAGAAGACACAGACGTGGAGCAGGATGTGAGCCCTTCTTGGTCAAGTGAATTCAGCAATTTCACCAGTACATGTCTCTCTCATTTGGTGGATGCAAAAAAGCGGTCCCCCATAGGAGTTTTTTCTCCATGATTCTTTTGGGAGCTCGAAAGCCGCAAGGCAATCCCTCTCGCATGCTAGGTCTGACGCTAGGTGACTGGTGTTACTTCTGGCCTGGTGCAAGGGCTTTCCTGAAAGGAATCGTTAGCTGGTCGTCGTTGACTCGCGCGATTGAAACGGTGTTGCACAACCAGACGCAACCAGGCTTCGCAAGAACAACACATTGGGGACACTGAGTGCCGTGATGTGCTGTGGAATGTGGAATATCTGTGGAAGTGACCCCCAGGCGTGCAATCAGAGAGCTCCCTGGTCCTGCAGGCACGGGGACATCGCTCCACGGTTTCCTCGGAATTCCGGCAGCAGCTGCAGGCACAGCAAGCCAAAGCAGAAGCCAAAGCTGCACTACCCACGGTCATCTCCAGCATGTTCCTGTGTGTTGGGCATGAAGGACCTCATGGGGCAGATCCGCACAACAACGCCTCACTTTGTCCCCACCTCAGCAAGTCGGACACCACCCGGTGAAGAGTCAGCACGTCAGAGGGTCTGAGTCATGATATGAGTCATTGTATGAGTCTGCGCAATCCTGCGCACTCTCGGCAGGTTCGCTGCATCAAGCCCAATCCGGAGCACCAGCCTCAGATTTTTTTTGAGCAGGTTGAGCTTCGAGAAATCTCAGAGGAGTCACAGGGCTGCCACCCAAGAGCTTGAGAGGAACCGGGCGTTTGTGGATGCTGCTGCTCCTGATCCATGTCCTTTGTTCGACAGGCCTGCAGTATGCTGCGATGTGCGTTTAGAAGGCGTGTGTCAGTGAGTTCTGTGTCAATAATACCCTTTCAGCTGTTGTAGGAGCTCTGTCGCAGAACAGCTTCGATACCAGGGCGTGATCGCCCTACTGGCTGCTCAAGGTAACAAATGGCACCTGTGTGTGGATTCTCGATGGGAGGTACTTGAGGCCATACGTGTAGCCAGAGCAGGCTACCCGGCCCCGACCTCAGCCGAACCACAGAATGTGAGGGAAGTGCCTGTTATGTCCTCAGTGACACCAGTTTTCAAAGAGTGTCGAACTAGTCTGACGGAGATGACGACATATGAAACCCCCCCTCCACTGAGGGTCTCCTAGTGAGAACAGCTCAAGGGCTAGCGAAGTACAGAGGTACGCTACTACCACTTCGACTTCCTGGCGGAGTTTCGCTGCATTGCGAGCAAGAATCTTCAGCTGGACATGGAGGTCCCGGGCTTTGGGCGAGAAAAGCAAGTCCTGTTTTGAAGTCTCATGACTTCTGCAATGGCGCCAGGCAGCAATGCAGAAGCATCGGGATGAGGGCGAAGGCTCCAACAGCTTGGTCCGAGCGCCAGTGTCAGTGCTGCTGGCCCGTGGTAGATTCTGGTAGGGCATGCTATGGGCATGCTCAAGGTCCAGAGCGTCCGGAAGCTGCTCGAGTCCGAGCCGGTTCGATCCGCTTGCGAAAGCCCCGAGGCCCGTGCACCCGTGACGTGTCGCAGTGTTGGTGTCTTCTGTACGTTTGTGGTCGTGCTGAACATTTCTGATTGTTTTGGGGAGGCCGTGGCGGTGGGGCAGAGCCGCATCTTTCTGAAGCAGGCCCGAGGAAGAACGCCTGGCATGTTTTCATACTAGGTAGCGCTTTCAGCAGAGGCTGCCGCGGGGCGGCTGCGGGCCGCCCAGGCGGGGGCCCGCTCGGCGGCCGCGCGGCGCCTGCAGGCGCGGCACCGCGGGGGCATGGCGCGGTCTTTGGCCGCGAAGCGGCTCCGCGCGGTCCTCGTGTTCCAAGCGCACGGGCGTGGCTCTGCGGTGCGGCGGCGGCTGGCAGCCGAGAGGCAGTCTCGTGCAGCCTCCTTGATTGCAGCAGGGCTTTTGACGCTGATGGCCCGACGCCGACTGCACTGTGTGCGATTTGTCTGTGAGACACTGCAAAGCCTGGTGCGGATGAAGGCCTGCAGGAAGGACTTCCTGGAGCTTCGCCAGGCGACATGCAAGATCCAGTCCTGGTGGCGATCTTGGCTCAGACGCCGGAGGATGCGGGAGCTACCAAAGCATCTTCTGAACATCCAGCGATGCTGGCGCGGGGCCATGGGCCGCCGGAAGGCGACCGACTTTCGGGTGGGGCTGTTCCGCCTGAAGTTGGCCTTGCGTCGACTGCTTCGCCTGCGCTGGGCGGCCCTGAAACATCGCAAGTGGCGGCAGGGCATCATGGCCAGCTACCGAGGTACTTCACAGGCCTCTCAGGCCGTGCAGCCTCTGACAAAGGCAGACTTGCTGCAGAAACTCTTTGCGCTCGAGTCGGAGCACGCGTTCCTCGAGCGGCAGGTCGGAATCGTTCGGCAGGACCGCTTCGAGTTGAAGACGAGCCTCGATGAGGCAAAGTCAAGCTCCTTCTTGCGGGTCTTTGGATTAGTTTGAATAAGGCTTCAAAGAGGAGCCAGAAGAGAAGGGTTTCACAAATCGTTTAGCCTGAGCAGATGGCAGTTCCCCAGGATGTGCCACTGACGGGGTGCATTGGAGCGTGTCTGTTTGGGACAAAAAGGGGGAAGTAATGGGAAGCAAAGCTATTACATCAAAGGACATCTCAGACATCACGCATCGCCCAGCCCGATCTATGCCTCAAGCCGCTTCCTGCGACCTCAAGGGGCTCGAGAGCGGTTCGAGAGTGGGCCCCAAAGTGGAGCCCTCTGTGGCCCTGTATGGAGCCAGTGGAATGCTCAGTTTCGCTTCAAGATGCTGAAATCCTGGTCCCATCTTGGCCAATCTATCTTCGAACTAGCCTTTCCCAATGCATGCTCAGGCCGGCTGACCGCAACTGCTTCCCTGCATGTGATGCAGGCACCACCGCGGCGCTCACATGCAGCGATGTGCAATGGTTTCTGCCAGTGCCTGCAAGGTGGAGCACATCCAGCTTGATGCGTTCTTGCGGAAGTTGTCGGTCTCAACCGGGCGTCGCGGGCCCGTGCGTACATGACAAAAAACTCGGTTGAAACCAGTGTAGTGTGCATGACAGAGTGACGCACCGAGGATCTGACGATGAAGAGTCGCAACAGCGGACCGCAGCAGTTGCGCCTGTGCGCGACAGATGTGTAAGATGCGCAGATGAGATGCAGGACATCGCGGGAACTCGCTCATTCGAAATCGGCACCTCAGCGACTTGCTCAACTCGAGCTCTTTCAACTCTACGCTGGCAGTTGTCCTTGGCCCCCCCCCCAGTGGTATTCGAGTTCTCCACCTTCAAAGGTTGCGGCCCCCCAAACTGCGGCGTGAAGCTTATCAGGGCTTGTGAGGGCTTGCGTCGCTGTGGCCGGTGGCAGCTGTTGCAATGAGCCCCTGTGGGTAGCTCATTGCTCAGGACCGACCCGAAGTTGGAGGAGCTGAGACGGAACATCCGCTGGAAGCACGGTCTTATCCAAGAGTTGCATGCACACACACACACAGACACACACATATATATATATATATCTTTTTTGTATTTATTCGCTTCTTTATTTATTTGTGTATTTATTTATTTATCTACTTATTTATTTATTTGTTTTTTCATGTGTCAACCGAGTTTGTGAACAGCTTTGTCAGAAAGGTCTGAAAGCAGCTCGCAAGTCAGTTTTGCAAGACCCGAAATGCTCCGGTCTGAGATACGAGAGGCTTGTACCGCATCATGTGGTTGTGGTCAGAGGCTGAAGCGCATGTGCATGAGCCCCACCAAGGCAGACTTATGCTTGGTTTGCCGCCCCTGCCAGACACTGAGCCGTGTGATCGTCTTGTGATGCTGCTTTGGAGGCTTCCCAACCTTTCGTTTTGCAGGTCGTCCGCTCCGAAAAACATCCAGAGTGTGCACAGCTTGCCCACCATGGCTCAGCAGATGTCTTGGCTTGGAATGTTCTTGTGGGATGCCGGTTGCTCGTGGCGTGAGACGTGTCTGTGAGACAGGGCCGCAAAACTGCGGGAGCACCTGGCGAGTTTGCAGGGGCTTTGGCTGCCATTTTGGGCTGAGCTAGGTAGGGTCTGAGAGTCGTGTCGACAGGCTTTAGCCCTTGACAAAGCCGAGTCCAGGACCCCTTGTGCTTCTTGTGCTTCTCCTCGCTTCCCCCCCCCCCCCGGAACACCTTTTTGCAGCATTTGTTGCAATCCTGATTGCAGCTCTGTGCATAGGAAGAAGCCGGAGAAGGAGAGAAAGCCTTCGTCGGGACACGGGCGCCTCAGCCGGAGAATTGTCAGCGGCAACCTACAGTCGCTTCAGTGGCTGGGATAGTTGCAGCACATTCTGACTTGTATTCCTGTGAGCATTGCAACTTGTCGAGGCGCAAGAAGGGCAAGAAGAGGGTTCGACACCTAACTGTGCAGCATGAGCAAAGCGAGTTCCTTGAACACGAGTGTGCTAGCCAGCGGGTTGTGGGCCAACTACTGAGACCGTGACGATGCATTTCCAGGCGCACTGCTCCCCAAACTGCAGGGTCTAGAAGGAAGAGACGGAAGTTGGGGAGCTTTCCCGCTGCCTGACGCTGGCAGGGCCAGGATGATGCCAAGAGCCTTCCAGCAGCAAGCTGGGACAAGGCTGCCGGGTTTGGGTTTTGCCACCCCAGCTCCCAGTGCTACTTGTAGTGTGATGTCTCTGGATTCTGCGGCTGAGTGCAGGTTGGATCCTTGTGTGCTAGTGTGCAGGAGGCACTGGACAGGTCAGCCCACTACTCTGTGACATGACGACTGAGATGGCTTGAGATTGAGATGACAAGCAACAGAAGAAGAAGCAGACTAAACTAAACACCTTGAGTCTCCTGAGTCAAGGGATCCTTGTCCGTTGCAGCCAGGTTCTACTCAGCCAGTGGTTTCATACCAGAGCATGAAATCAAGAGGCATTGGAGTCTTGACTGAGCGAAGTCGGACAAGTGCACGTCTGTCTTTGCGAGGATGCGGATCTGTTTTCAGAGATTCTCCTCGGAGGATAACGACCTGTACCGTGGGCAGGTGCATGAGGCCTCCAACATTGCCAGTGCCTGCCATGCTGACTTGCCTGTGACCAGTCTGCAAGGTGCTGACCCACCTTTGCTACGTGCCTGTTTCCGAGGATAAGGCCGCCGGTCGCGTGCAAGTGTGACACATTAAGCGTCGGAAGCCCTTACGGAATATGGAGAATATGCGGCAAGTCTCAGGCCACGGCCATTGCCAAAGACACCAACGAGCAAAGGTCTAAGTTGGCCGCGGGATCAGTCAGTAGGCCTGTGCGTAGCAGCCATCCGCAGCGATCGACTTTCTGCAGGTTCTCCACTCTTGACTTTCAAGACTTCTGTGACTTCGTTGAGCGGTACACGCAGTATGAACGTGAGGTGCCGATGCTCTGGCAGACGTTCATAGGAAGTGCGTGTGACATGCATGTGTCGTAGGTTGTGCGAGTCAAGTTGGAGGAGTGGACTGCGCCGCTCGTAAACATTCGCAAGCCATTTGTCGCAGTTCTGTGGCTTCTGTATATTTCTGTCAATCCTTTCTGGCGCTAAGGCGGGAGAAGGAGGAGGATGATGAAGCGGACGCGATTGCCGTACTCCCTCTCATGTGTTGGGGTTGATCAGGACTGGTGTTGCATCTACGTCGCAGTTTTGGGTGGCAGGAAGTACGTGGCTTTCTGAAGTCGCTTGGCATCATCTGTCTCAAGGCTGTTGCTCACTTAACGGTGCTTTCAACCCTCCGAACTGCTCGGCAACTGGAGGATACCGCGCAAGAGGTCATAGAGCTGGGTGGGATGAGCGGTCGCACCTGTTCCCGCCCAGAGGCATCAACACGGTAATTCTGCGTAAGTTTTGGGGCTCTTTTCTGGATGCATACCTGCTCAGGAGCTCTTGCGGTGTCTATCCGCATACCGAGCCCTTGAAGGCTTCACGAAAGCGGACGCTTGACCGAACCGATCTGTTAGGGTTTGGGGTAAACGCACCGGTATAAGGAGTGGTACGTGCCAGTTTCAAGGGCCGTGAGTCGCTTGCGAAGGGAGTCAGGTTGAGCGTTTGACCGAGGTGGAGCCTTGGTACTATCAGAATTACATAAATCTACGAGAGAGTAGCTGCAACAGCTGAAGCCTTTCACGAGGAGATAGATCGGATCCATGCGATCTTCCTCACCTTGGAGGCAGCAGCCGGCATTGTATACGCTAGGCTCGCTAGGCATCGAGAGCTCGCCGATTGAAGATGCGTTCGTGTCAGTGACACTGTTGTGAGAATGCGGCCAGAGCGACAGGTCGAGGGCGCGGCATGCTTGCAATGAAGCAGAATCCATGAAAAGCCATGTGCGACATCAAGGATAATGCGCTTAAAGTTTTCCAGACAGCTTCGCGCTCGTCGAGTGTGGGTCGTCACGACAAGCATCCCCAACTGTCGAATTGCTACTTTGACCGTGTATGACCGGGTGAGCGCTGCCTGTCCCTTCAGGCAGAGCCGCAGCCGAAAACTGCAGCTGACATGCGATCAGAAAGGCTCCAACCTCAGCCCATGCCAGTTTTTAAGAGGCGTGAGTTCCAGTTACGCAGGCACATCAAAGCTTCACAGCTTTGCGACGGTCTTCTAAAGATCGCTGGGCTGTACTGTCCGCCACCTGGTCCCCTGATGTCTACCCTGCGCCCCTGCGCTGCGTCTTCGAAACCTTCGCTGTGAGCCCTTCAGGTGCCGATCACCTCCGGGAGCTCCTGGACAAGATGGAGGAGACGATTGAGGCCGCGTGGCCGCGTGGCCGCGCAAAACTCGCACATGGAGGGGCCAGCATGGCCAGCGCAATGCTGCCAGGGGGAAAAAATCACGCCTTTCCTCTTCTACGAGTGTGGCCCTCGGAGGGGCTCCATCGCCGCGATGTTGGCTCTTCGCTCGTGCGGCCTCCCCAGAGCCCTTGTGCGGAGCATTGCGGAGCTGAGGTTCCTGGTCTGTGCTCGGCGCCTCCGAGTGCGGCAGCCCAGGGGATTTCGGGGATCTCGGAGCAAGTATATCGGAAGCCGCGTTGTGCGGCTGCCCGCAGTTCACCGAGGACGCCATGCTGACCGCGGGCGCCGAGGAGTTCGACAATCTGGACGCCGATGAGGACGGCATCGTCGAAGCGAACGAGCTCCGCGAGCTCTGTGCCTGGGCTTGTGAATCTTCGGTCTTTTGGGTGCTTTGATGTGATGGTATGTGATGTGAATCTGTGTGAAACTTCGTGCGCAGGCAAACCCCTGGGCTTCACTCTCTCAGCAGCGGAGTGGGACGAGCTGGTCGAGGAGCTGAACCTGGGGGACGAGGATGTGGAGTTCCAGGATGCCTGGGACTTCCTCCAGTCCGTGCAGGCAAAGAACGGCTTCACCGCCTCGGAGCAGCAGGAGCTCATCGAAGCCTTCGGGCGCTTCTCCACGGTTTCAGGCAATGTATTGCTGCGATATGCTGTGATATGCCGTAGTGGGAGGGTGCGGGAGAAAGTATGCTGTGAGACATTGTGTGAGACATGCTTTTCTCTGGGAGGTGAGCTGGAGAACCTCAAGGTCAAGGACCTCTTGACCTACCTTGGCTTCGAGACGACCGTAGATGACGTGCAGGACATGGTAAGCAGAGTGGACTTCAACGGCAGCAAGACCATGGATCAGAATGAGTTCTTGCGGTTGATGCGACTGCAGCGGGAGATCACCATAGCATCCTACACGGCGGCGTACTCTCGAAATCGTCTCTTTGCCCACGGTGGGGCACCCCCGGAGGAGATCGAGCGAGTGCTGGCCCTAGCCAAGCTGCATCCCAACGTCCACATCATGGCCCAAGCCCTTGAGGTGGTCGAGGAGTCCGGGGACTACGATCATTCCACACAGTCCCTTCAGTTCGAAGGCTTCTTGAAGGTGGCAGATTACTGTCGCAAGACCATTCCGGTCTATAACCGGAGGCATGCCCACTTTCAGCTGAACCAGATCGACGAGCTCCGAAAGTCCTTCAACTCGCAGGACATGGAGAGCAAAGGCTTCATCTCCATCGGAAGCTTCTTGGGGCTCCTGGCCGACACGACCCTGGCCGTGAACACTGTCGCTGGTCGAGCCCGGATGCCGCCGACTTACCTTCTGCCGAGGCGTCCTTTCAACATCTTGTGAGCAAGGGCCATGGATGCAAACCCCCCCTCCGGTGCCCCAAGGTATGAACAGTTGGAGAGAGCTCGTGAGGCAGATGTCGTTCTTGCTTGCCGGATGCACCAGCAAAGAGTCCCAACCTCGCAGCAACATGCCAGGCTGCCTTAGAGGCAGGCGTCAACAAGGAGGAGGTCGGTGCTCTGCTAATCTCTTGTTGATTGTGCAAGGCACCAAGCAACCAATCCGAAATGTTCTTCAGGTCGGGAATCCCAACAGTCCTCGCGTTCGCTTCCTGCCGATGGAATGCGCCTCAGGCATCTCAAGATGCTCATGTCGGCTGAGAATCTGCCTCTGGTAGCTGTAAGCAACCGTTACCAACAGCAACGAGAAGCAGCATTGGTACGCAGTCTCTGGCAGCCAGAAAGCCCCTGCACAGCACTCCTGCGCGAGTTGTGTTTTTGTTGGGGAGGGGAGTGGACGCAGCCGGGGCCCATGAGCAAAGCAATAGTCCACGCACACTTTCACTGTGCCACTGACTTGGCACCCTGACAAGCGCCACACATCTTGAGACAAGCCTTAACCGTGACCTGGAGTAGCCCAGCACCGACGAGCACTTTGTGGGGGCATCGTGCAGTAAGTGGGGTGGCAGGTTGAGAGGTTGGCTTTGGATCAAGATGCTAGGCGGCCAGGGGGCTGGCATGTGAGATCAGTTTTGCAGCATGGCATGCGCATCAGATTCTGAGGTCCACTTCGTCCACGAGACTGTCAAGAATCACGAAGATGCGGTGCGAGTCTTTGCGCAGTGCGTTGTGTGTTTCCGGGCAGACGGCTTGCAGGTCAAGAGACTTGCAACACTCTTGCAACCTTGTAGCCTCGGAAACTCTTAAAGATCAAGGGCCCCATGCCCTCGCTCAGGTCTTCGAGAGAGAGGATGCAGCCTTGAAGGACGCCCAGCTGGCCTTGCAAGTGTGAAAACGTTTTGCCCAATTGCCCCAATTTTTTCTGGCTTTGAGGAGGTAACTTTCTCAAAGGAAGAGGCCGACTGCCCTCATAACGACATTGTCATGCTAGTGCCGCAGCTCTGTTTGTCTGTGAGGTGCAGCAATTCCGGGATCTCTTTGCACAACTGGTTAAGCAGCATGAGGCTGAGGCCTGGAAACGGCTGCAGTGCGGCATCTGCAGCACTTTTACTATGTTATCCTTGATGCTGCCATGTTTATAGGCGCTGGTGAAGGCCTTGTTACGGATCACTGCAGCGCCATGTGCAGGTGCACGCGTACAGACACGGACGCAGACGCAAACAGCAGCAGAGTTTTGTCACCGCCCTTCCAAAGCAAGGGTAGAAACGAAGATGCCATGATGCTCATGAGCTTTGCACGCAGAAGAACGGTGTTTCTGCCTTCTTGATCTGCAAACACGTTTCCAACGTTTGCCAACTCAACTTCCTTGACGACAGTGATACAAGCAATCTCGTGGTTCTGAAGTTCTGAGTTTGCGCCTTTCATTGTGCAAATGGGGGGCGGCCTAAATCTGGAAATGCGAGTGTAAATGAATCTACACCGCTCTCTGCAGGTAGCAGCAAGCGCAGCTGCACGAGAGAGGCCTGCTGGGCGACGGCTTTCGGTTCCTTGCCTTCGTCAGGTGATAAGATGTTAAGAGCTCCCGAATTCGGAGACAGTCCTTGGAGCAGGGTCAAACGGCGGTTGATAGGCCTGATAGGCAGAGGAAGCCGCAAACGCAAGGGTTCACAATTAGGATGGGGGAGGTGACGCCAGGTCGTTTTGTATCCCAAACTAGACGACTGACTGTCGGCAGTCTAGAATGGCAAGTGGGTTTGTGCGCGCAGCTTGCGCAACTCTACGATCTCACGCTCGTTGGGTGGATTTGTGCCAAGGCTGTACAGGCTGCACAAGTCTTGGCGGAGGCTGGGAAGATGCTTAATGATGCATAAAACATTTTGTCATCAGGCTGGCATGGCCATGACGGACCATTTTCTTCACAGCTTAGCTTTGGCAAAGGCAGAAGAGGCCCTGCGTGAGCAGCAGCAGAAGTCCCGGCCCAAGACCAGAGAGCAACTACCGCGAGGGCATGTCGAAGACGCACGGACATGTAAAACATATAGCAGCGAGTGACCTTCTAAGGGAGCTGACGCTGGGTTCGGCGATCAAGCGCTTGACGAAGGTCGACCGCGCCGCCCACACAGAGGATGTGCGCAGTATTGTGCAGTGTGCCGAGCATTGCCAAGGCGCACGCTGTTGCAACCCAAGGTTCCTGCAGCCGACATTATCAAGATGGTGTCGCTCATGGGAATTCAGGTGCGACTGGGCTGACTGGGCTACAGCAGCGACACAGCCTCGACACGGAAGTGACACAGCCGTGACACAGATGTTGATGCAATAGTAGCAAATTGGGCACCCACACGCATGAGGTGGAGGCTTTGGGTAGGTGTTTGTTAAATCCACACCTCGGGCAAGTTCTCGTGCTCGCAGGCTACTGGACCCATAAGGCAGCAGCTCTTCGAGAGGCGCGGCAGATGGTGTCTTCGCGAATCAGTTTGTCTGAGCCTTCCGACGTTACCTAGACTGCAGAGGTGCATGCATTTCTCCGACAAGCCAGAACAAGGCGTGGACTTTCCAGGGTTCCTGCAACTCATGCAGTGGTCGCAGCCCCAGATTCCAGCAGGATGCTTCAGAGCTTGCGAAGTGCAGATGAGGATGGTCGGCACCAACTTTGGCAACATCCTCGCAGCAGCAGAACAGACGGTAAAGCACGCGGCCCAGTCGGAACCGCATGGTACTGCATTGGCAAGTTGGAAAGACGGAAATATCGAAGGGGCACAGCAGACACCAGGAGCTCAGATGCAAGGAATGCAGCTTAGAGCAACGTGCAACTTAGGTCCGAAGGCCTCAGATCCGATGCCAGCAGCCAGGGCCCCTGCCAGAAAGCCGCAAGGTGCCCTTGCAGCCTTGCAGCCATGCTTGCAGCTCTGTTGCAGCTCTGTTGCAGCTCTGCAGCATGCTTGCCGCGTGCTTGCAGCCAGCTTGCAGCTGCGCGCTGACGAAGCAGTGCCTGTGGAGCCGGTAGTGACTGAGGAGCTTCAATGGCGGCAGGGGTCATCGGTCAGTCGTCAAAGTTTGGCCACATGGACGTTGTGAATGTGCGGTCCAGGCCCGGAGACTCTGTGAGTACCGCCACGAGTATTCGCATCACATGCCAAAAATGCCCATGGGTGGCAGGAAGTACCTCGGCTGACCTTGAGCTTTCGTGATCGACAAGGAGCCAGGGCTGGGCGGGGGGGGGGGGGGGGGAAAGCTGTCGGCAGAGTAAGGAGTCTGAGTGCCACTAAGGGCTACGCGAAGATCCAGGAGGTTGGAGTTCCTGAGCCCGCCAGGGCGAAGGAAGTGTTAGGTTAATGTGCCGCGACGGTCTCGTCAACTGTCGAAGATGTACACAGCATGGCGCGGGTGAAGCTTGGCGCCTTTGCATGGCAGGTATTGTAAACGTCTTTTTGTTTGCTGTTGCTCGCAAGATCCAACAAGCCAGGGTGGCCCTTGTGTTGAGTGAGTAAACCCTGCCTCTTGCAGTCGTAGACGCAAAGATCCAGGTCCGTTTCCTGAATTTGATCAAATCGGAGCCTTAAGGGCTCCGTGTTGCGTGCATGGAAAATACAACTGGCGGACTTTGGAAGGGTTCTCTCTACTTCTCATGTTTCATTCCGGATAAGTACATGCCATGGTCATGCTGTCTCTCAGATTGCTAGCACATGCTGCAAGCCGAACATCACGTGACATATGATGAGCTACTCTCGCATATTCATCATATTCTCTCCCTAGGCTCTGCTACGCGACCTTGTGGATTCAAGCTTTTGACAAGATTGAGAGCCCTAGGTGCAGTGCTCAAGGAAACGGAACGCTACGCGCAACCGAGCATTTGTGCTTCTTCGGTCGGCAAATGGGTGATCATACGAACCTGGCATCAACAAGCACGCATGTGATGCCTTATGATGCTCCAGCACTTGGGCTTCCACTGCAGTCTCCAAGGACCCTCCAAGGCGCCTCATCTTGTTACCCGCAGCGCGCCTCTGCACAGCATGGTCCTTGGTGGGCAATCTACTGCAGGATGCGAAAGTCTTGTTTTTTGCCGTACGCAGCTTGCAGGGCTCCATGGGGAATTTCGAAATTGGCACAATGTGGTCTGTCGGCATCCTCTGAGGGCTTGCAAAATAAGACAGGGGAGCTACTGGTCAGTGTGCATGGTCTATGTCTTGGGTTTAGGCAAGTTTAGGCTTTTGCAATAGGCCCCAAACCCCCTGTGTTGGAGCGTACATTCAGCGTTTGCATGAGTGCTTCTCGAGGCCTGAAGCAAGCCCCAGAAGCCCAGGCATCCTTGAGTCAAACTTGAGTCCTTGAACATCCTTGTAGTCCTTTGTAGTCCTTGCTGTTTGGGAACCGAAAGCCGGGCTCCACCTGCTCACCAGGGTCTGTGGTTGTTTCCGACATTTTCTGAAGTTGCGTGCCTGTTCATGTTGCCAAGCCATGTTCCGGTGCCATTCGGACCTTCTCGAAGCCTAACCGAAACGACTCGCAGTCCGGGAACTAAACGGACCATACTCTGCCTCGCAGTCATGTTCCAGACCTTTCATTCAGAGCTGTTCGTGCAAAGCGGAGTCCTATTGTGTTTAGTTCCTGGCACCGTCGGCACTCCAAGCAGCTCCCAAAGCGCCCCTCATTGCCAATTTCTAGCAAGCGCCACTTAAGGGTCCCAACTTGGAGTGCCTGCAACATTGTGCATATCGCCTGCGTGTTTCACAGAAAATGGCCTGCGCGGCTCGCTGCTTGCTCCTGGCATCTCTGGCATGCTGCGTGTCCGCTGCGCATGGTAACTGCATCCCGGATGACGGCCTTGGGAATACGACCTGCCAATCTCCAGACGAGCACTCCTTCGTGCAGAGCTGGAAGCGTACGGATCGAGCGCCACCTGGGCCACAGCCGCTGCCGGCAGCGCGCCAGCTGGGCCTGATGTGGGCGCCGGCCATGTGGCTGGTGCTATTGGTTCCGTTTGCTGCGATGCAGTTCTGGACGGGAGCCAAGCCACAGAAGAGTGCCACAGAGGCTTTGCTGCACGGCGCCGGCCTGGCGCGGGTTGGCCACAGTGCCCAACAAATATTGTTCAATTTTGAACTGTTGGTTTTCGTTTTGCCAGGGGCAGAAATGGAGTTCGGAAGCAGAGCAGGAAGGCAGCTCATCCAGACAGGACGGCAGTGATGCCATGCAAGTGAGCCCTGCAATATTGCCTTTGCATCTTTGCCAGAAGGACGTATGGCTGGATGTTGCCGGACTTAGAGATTTGTGGCTGCTTGAAGTGCAGAGGCCCAGCAGAGTCATGCGTTGCTTGAATTCATCTTCGGACTCGCCGCATCTCGCCGCATCTCGCCGCATCTCGCCGCAGCTGGCACTTTGTGGTTCCTGTTCGGTCGAGTCCGTGTCGAGCACACTCTATCTTTCACCTTTGATGCTTCAGGCAGCGGCATGGAGCAAGCTTACTCAAGGCTCCTATTTCCTGCTTCTACTGCTCTGTTGCATGAGAGTGTCGAAAGTGCTTGGATCGTGGAAACCAGTCGACAGCCTGACAACTTTGCAGGTGTTGTTGCGTCACTGTCCCGGGCTTTCTGTTGGAGAAGCTTGCGAATCATACACAACGCACTCCAAGAACACACTGGCTCGTAAGCGGTTGAAAACAAGTTGACACAGTTCAACGCAAGGGAGCAAGCTGAGGCCTTAGTGAAAGCTGGATGGCAAATGCTTATGGCACAGGACTGAGCATCCGGCGTGTGGGCGATTGAAAGTTGAGCTTGTCTATCCATGGTCACGACGGATCACGACGGTCCATGCTCCTACTACGGCTTAGTACGCAGGTACATGCATCGGGGCCCTTGGGTTTGCAGCCAATCTCTTTCTCTCCATCGCTCTTGGCCAGCTGTCGGATCCTCGAAGATGGCACTCGAAGTGTGCAGCCCGTGAGTTGCGAAAGCTGGCCCGACACTCCAGGCTTGATGGCGTGCGTCGAGGGTGCTGGGCTGAGTTTAGTCATTTTAGTCCAGGTCCTTTGGTCCCGCATTGTTCCCACATACTCACTCATACTCGCCTTGGCTTCTCCTTGACAGGCAGGCGCATGGTTTCGATGGTGGCTGCCTTAGGATTTTCGAGCCAGGGGTTCTTGTTCCAAGTTTCTTAAGTGCTTTCGCCGTACGGTACTTCGTCGCCACTTACATGTTTGACATCACATGACTCGTGACCACATCCGTCGTACGCAAATGATGAACGCATCAAAAAAACAGCCAACATGAGTCGATGTCGCCCAAGATGGCCATTTTTTGCACTACTCTTTGGTTCTAGATGTGAAGCAGGTGCTGCCAGGTCCTGTGCGGTCGTAAGCAGGCATGCGTATTGGCAAGAACTGAGATCCAGCATATCCAACAGAGTCGGGGTCTCCAATGGTCTCCATTCTTACTGTAAGGTTTTTCCGCAAGAAATCCCAACTTTGGCAGAGATGTGCGGAGATGTGCAGAAGTGTGCTGAGGACTCATGGTGGTCTTGACCTGCGCCGTGCTTCCTTCCCTTGTGGGCTTCTTGGAGGCGGCGAGTTGCACCAGGACGCCCGGCTCGACCTGCCTTGCTCGTACTGTGCTCACCTGTAGTCGTCGCCTCTTGCCACGTGTGACCTGAAGTGTACGTGGCATGTGCTTTCCAGGAATGCCCGATTTGCTGCGCGATGCAGCGCGGCCGCAGCCTCGGAATTTGCAGGGGGACCGTGTCGTACTCGTCGTGTTATGACGAGATGCATCATGCAGGCCTTGATGGGCCTCTTGGGCACGAAGGCTAAGCAACTCCCGGCAACAAAGGCACGGCTCAGCAAGCGTGGAGAGGTGTGGGGAGGTGCAGAGAGCAGGCTGTGAGCTCCTGACAGTGCCTGGGTACATGTTTTCGACTTCACTGTCACCAGGTCGGTGTGGATCCTTTGGCATCCCTGGGGGGAATTCATGGCGCGCTGCGACTCTCAGACCAAGTTGGAGAGGTGGCTTGGAGGTGCATTTATGGGGTCTATGGAAGGGAACCTTCCTGTGGAGACCATAGCTCTGCCAGAAACTAACCCCCCCCTCTCTCACTCTGCGTTCCCCTAAGGCGGTGCCTTGTCTTTGGCGCGCTGCCATGGCCTGCGCACAGGCCCTTGCCTTCGTGGCACCTGTGCAGTCTTTGGCGACGCACAAACTCGCCGTCGTCGTGTTTTAAGTTTTGTTTTTAAGCAGGTGGCTGTGCTCCTGGCATGGTCGCAAGCCTGGAGCACCGGAGTGTATGATTCCCTCTCACATGCCGCCTGTCATGTCTGTGAAAATCGGCATAGATTGTTACCCTCAAGGCTGTGGACACGGTGGGGTGCGATGGTGCTGCTTGCGCCCTTAGGCCGGTGGCCATGCCAAGCCGTTCGGAGAGAATTCGCTTTTGCTCGCTTTTGACATCGGGAGATGTCAGCCCCCCCCCCCCCCGTTGCTTTCCCCCCGCTCTCCTGAGAGGCTTCGCTCCGCTGCTGCCCGTCACGGCACTTCGGTTGCGTGGCCTTGCCGGCAGCCCGGAGAGAAGCACAGGGTGCCTCTTTGCAGCGCGCGAATTTTTTAGATGTGCAGCATGGTGCAAAATCAATCGCGACAAAGATGCTTGCTATTCCACAGACTCTGGTTCCCCGTCGCAAGAGGTCCAGCCCTACGTCTCCTACGAGACTGCCGCGCAGCTCCGCAGCCGCATAAGAGACGCGTGTATATAAAGCCGACGATAAGAATCGCAATTCTTCGCATTCATGCTAACAACACATATCATCAATGGGTCGCCGAGGCGCCGGCACGACTTCGTCGCTGCCCTCGAGCTGAAAGGGACTAACTTGTGCTGATTTTCTGATTGAACCTTGCTTACGTTGCTTAAGTTGCCTGCACCTCCTGAGCCGTGAATCCTACCCTCTCGTCTCGCAGACCTGTAGAGCCGGAAATGACGAACCTTGTGTTAAACTAGCTGCCCTTCTCGCCCTCGCCCAACCCTCCTCTCACCCTCCCCGCTTCCTCGCCTTCTGCGGTCTTATTGAAAACCAAGAAGCTGAGCATGCCTGGGATCCTGACTCTCAAGTGAGGCTTCCTGTTCGAAACAGGGCTTGCCCCAAGTGTCGACGCAGGACAGCCTGCTGCATTCCTTGCATGTGTCCGTGTCACCAGTCCGTATTGTCATAGTAAACTGCACACAACGTCCAAGACCCTTTCAGCTGCCAGAACTTTGTGGAGCGCGCTCAGCATTTGCGGCGGGAGGCGCAGATGATGTGGTGACTGATGGTGCCTTTGGGTGCATCGGGGGCTTCTCCTTGGCTGCAGGAGCTTGGCTTTCTGTGGGTGATGCACAACCTCAGTGTGGCGCCTTGCTGCCTCTCCGTTCAGCACCGTACACGGTCCAACTTCCACCCTTCCGATTCAGATCCTCTGATTCCGCACACGAAGGCTACCAGGTCGCACTGTTGGCTGCACGCTGGCCGCAGGTTATCGCAGCATCCCTAGCTGTGATTGGGGCATGAAATGGCACGAATTGCCCGCATGTCATGAATGGCACTTCCCACGAGGGGAGAGACATTGGGGGCAGAAATTTGGGGAGGATCTCTGCTTGTAGCTCGCTTTTGTGGCTTGGGGTGCTCGGAGGCCCTCGCGTGCGTCGTGGCCATTGCTGCGCTTGCCCCAACGCAGCCGGAGGCGCTCCCCCCCAGCCTTCGACATAGCGACAAGCAGGAATGTTGTTGACTCAAGAAACATTATTGTCCTGATGTTGTCCTCCAGACTTGGCGCCTTAGTTGCTGGAGACCATTTGCTAATGTTCCACAATATGTGTTTCATCATTTATTGGGTGTTGGGTCGGGGTATTTTGGTGGGTTGAAGGTTGAGGCATAGATTGTTATGGCTTGGGTGCCAGGGGGTAGTGCATGATTGAAAAATGGAAATGGCCCCACTAACTGCCTTTTTGCAGTCGGGGGCACGGAGAGGTCCTGCTTCCGCTTTTCCTACAGCTGCATTGCCTGCTGCGACAACTGCCTGTACCCCAGAGATTCCCTAGAGTGCTCAGATCACATGGCAGAAGCCCTTGCTCAAAAGGTCAGTTTGCAGCAGCTCCGTAACCAAGCTCTGTGCAGTGGAGCCTTCCTTGGCTCGAGTGGAGGCCACAAGCGGCCGCAGCTGATGTCAAAGAAAGGGCAAACTGTAACAAAGAGGAGCCTGTGCTGGAGGCGTTTCTGAGCCGGCGGGAGCTGGGAGCTGCGAGCCCCCCCGTCATCCCAGCATGGCTTATCGCCGTGACCACGCATGGGGGGGGACATGGGCGAAGAAAGGTTGGTGTCGACATGACATCTTCTTTTCCTTTGTTGGATGTCTCGGCTTCTCGTGTCGTTGAGACAGGAGGAGGGGCTGTGCCTCCATCTGTCGGGAAGCCAGGGGCTGAGCGTCAGCTTCAACATGAAGCGCTCTTTAAAGAGCGCTCCTCTGAGGCTTCGCCTGGGAGGAAGAGGCGGAGGTCGAGTCCCTGCACCTTGGAGCCGATTTGTGTTTTTTGAGCTTCAAAGTGACCTGGAGATGCATTTTGAAAGAGCTTGGAAAGAGCTTGGAGATGCAAAGGCCTGTACTTGTCGATCTGGACTTGAAGGCCCGCATGTCATCGAAAAGCACTGGCGGTGCACGCACAGAATTCCCTCGCCCTGTGCTTGCTCTTTTTCTCATTTGTTGGCCTTGGCAAAGTCTAGGTTGGTTAGGTGACCAGCCTCCTTGTTTCAATTGTTTGATGGTGGAAGTGCCACCCCTCCTCCCTCCCTCCACTCTCCCTCCCCCCCCCCCGCTTCATATTCGGAGCGGCAAATGTCCTGGAGCGCCCATTCCGATGGGAGTGCCCCAGATAATGTCATGCCGCATGCCCGTGCTCCCTATCCAACTCTCTGATGAAGTATCTGCAGCTAGTAAACTAGTAACTTAGTACTACATAGTGCCCTAGTGGCCTAACCTCTTCTGCGTTGCTGCCTCGCTCACCTTGGCCGTGTGTGTGTGTGTGTGTGTGTGTGTGTGTGTGTGTGTGTGATATCAAGTGAGAGCCGGCGGTGCTAGGTGCCCAGAGGCTCCCTTCTGGCGGTTCTCGGCACGTCTGGGGTCCGCAAGCTCAGAGAGTCCTCTTCGGCTTCCCGAGACCCTACGCAGCAAAATCCACTCTCAACCTCGACCTGGGAGAGACAAAAGCCCCAGGTTTTGTTTATTGCTGATCTTTGCAGGCCGGGAAGACCTCGCTCTTGCACGCAGCTTCTGGAGCCCTCCAACCGCTAGCAGATGCTCTTGTGCAGAGGAGAGGGTGTTTGGAGCATCTTCGACGGATTTTGGGGCTCTTCTTGCTGCCGTCAGCCAAAAGGAAGATACAAGAGTCACACCTCCTCCTACTCCTACGCCTACTCCTACCCCTACCCCTACCGCTACCCCTGCCCCTGCTCCTGCCCCCACTCCCACTCCCACTCCCACTCCCACTCCCACTCCCACTCCCACTCCCACTCCCACTCCCACTCCCACTCCCACTCCCACTCCCACTCCCACCCCCACTGTTTGTCCTTCTGCTGCTACTACTCAACTACTCCTACTACTACTACTACTTCTACTACTACTACTTCTTCTTCTTCTTCTGCTACTACTACTACTACTACTACTACTACTACTACTACTACTACTACTGCTGCTGCTGCTACTACTACTACTACTGCTGCTGCTGCTGCTACTACTACTACTACTACTTCTACTACTGCTACTGCTACTGCTACTACTGCTACTACTGCTACTACTGCTACTACTACTGCTACTACTGCTACTACTGCTACTACTGCTACTACTGCTACTACTGCTACTACCACTACTGCTGCTACTGCTACTACTACTGCTGCTACTGCTACTGCTACTGCTACTGCTACTGCCACTGCTACTGCTACTGCTACTGCTGCTACTGCTGCTACTGCTGCTACTGCTGCTACTGCTGCTACTGCTGCTACTGCTGCTACTGCTGCTACTGCTGCTGCTACTACTGCTTCTGCTTCTGCTTCTGCTTCTGCTTCTGCTTCTGCTTCTGCTTCTGCTTCTGCTTCTGCTTCTGCTTCTGCTTCTGCTTCTACTACTGTATGATAGAGCTAGTAATAGCAAAAACTCGCAATGATGGTCTCTGGTTTAGAACATTCCTCCTATATGCGAGACTTGTGCATGTCCTTTGCCGTTTCACCAACGAGTTCCAACAAGTCTACCTGGAGTATTTCGGGCTTCGTTCTCCTTAAAGGGGACAACTTGACCACAGGGTCTTCCAAGCTCATGGTACCCTCTGAGATTTTGGGGCTACATAAATTCAGATGGTTCAAGTTTTACACTGGCTTCTATCACCCTACCGCGCCAACCAATCAGAAGCGTAGCGGTGTAAGTGGTTGGGGCTGACGCAGGACACCGTCTGCGCTGTTCCTGCCTTCAACGCCTTGGATATTTCCAGGCTCAATGTCCAGGGCCTAAATTGGCACCTGGTCTGCTTTGCAAGTTCAGACTTTCTGGAGGAGAAGGGGCAGCTGCCCGTAATCTTAAGGCAAGCCAACATCCTCTGCGGTAGAAGCTTGGAGTTGCAGCGCTACCAAGAGGTTCTCCAGGCGCGATGCAGCACTTGTGAGGCATACAGTTTTCTGTGTCAGCATCGAGATCAAGCCATCATTCTTTGCAGTCTCATCAGAAATTTTCCACTGGGGGCACCTCTAGAAACGGCCAGGACTTGCACCACTTCACATTAGAGTACCACCCACCTCAGGCGTCATGATCTTTCTTGCCTTTGCAGGCCCTGGGTCTTGAAGCCGTGGCGGAAGGCGCGTGGTGTCAGGAGGGCTTCAGACTCCAGATTCACGCTTTTCAAGCGCCGTTTGTTTTGGTTTTGTTGGTATCTTGGTGCCTGCCGCAGATCCGGAGAGCACCTCGATGGATCGGCAAGCCAGAATTGCTTTGGCCCGGGCTGCGTACGGCAGTGAGGTTCGGGACCTGAAACACGGGTGCTTCAGTGCAGGGCCCGCAGATTTCTGCGTGACCTCCAGGATCTGGTTCTCATGGATGACCCGTTCTGCGGAATGGCGGCCTCGGACGCTGAGCAAATTATTCGCGAGGCGCCGTGGGTACTTGCACATTGCTGTGTCTGCAAGCCCGTGGCATCATGATGCATCATGGCGCCCATGGACTGCCACAAAAAGGTGCTTCAAGGGCCCCTGTTTGCGGGGCGCTCCTGCATCGTAACCTTCGGCAGCGACACCGCGCGCCTTGCCTTGGCCGCTGGAGGCGCGCTCGCTAGCGCATGTGCAAGCCGCTTTCACGTGCAGTCTGTGTCTTGTGTGTCATCATTAAATACATAATAACACAGGTACAAAACATGTATATGTATATGTATATGTATATGTATATGTATATGTATATGTATATGTATATGTATATGTATATGTATATGTATATGTATATGTATATGTATATGTGTATGTACATGTATATGTATATGTATATGTATATGTATATGTATATGTATATGTATATGTATATGTATATGTATATGTATATGTATATGTATATGTATATGTATATGTACATGTATATGTATATGTATATGTATATGTATATGTATATGTAGATGTATATGTATATGGTTATGTATGTGTATGTGTATGTGTATGTGTATATGTATATGTATATGTATATGTATATGAATATGAATATGTATATGTATGTATATATGTATGTATACATATACATATACATATATATATATATATATATATATGTGCAATGCTGTGCTCTTGTCCGGGTGATTCTCTGTGTGCATGTTGTATTACATGAGCTACTTGACTTGTGGGGATGGCAATTGTCCACAAGGATTGATCCAATTCATTTTTCACCGGGCCCACGCTGAAATCGGTTTTTCGTGCTGTTCTGTGATTCTCTTGAGGAGCTGCGTGCAGGAAGTGCATGACACGCGTAGCGTACGGACGCTTCTCCATGTCTCTGTGTTTCGAACGGTCGCCCTCGACCGGCGATGGATCCGAAGCAGTCTGCGTGTCTCTCTGGCTTCCCTGCGTCGAGCATGACGTGCCGGGTCCGCTTGCAGTTTGGAGTGTTTGGTGCGTATAGCAGCCGCTGATGTGTACTCCTATTGAGGAGCGTCCGTGCTTTATGTGTATTCTGGCGGATTTATGTGAGTTACGCTCCTTGTAAAGGCGACGAAGCAGTAAGTGGAGCATTTGGCGTCGTAGATTTTGGTGAGCAGCAGGTCGAATGACAGCACTTAGCCGTAGCACTTTGGGTTGGCAAAGAGACAAACGACAACACCTGGGTAGCATTGTTTGTCGTAGGTGCTCATGCGCAAAAAGGTTAAATCACAGCACACAGCTGCAGCATTTTGGGTGGAAGACGGCACTGAGAAGACTCGACTGTTGTATTTTGGGTCTTAGATGCTCGCTGCATCGGTAAACAAGTCTACAGACGAGTTGACCGGGGTCCGCGGTGGTCCGATGCCTCCGACCCTGGGATGTAGACACCTAGAGGTAGCCCGTGCCGACAGCGAGTGCGCGCGAAGCGCACTCGCACGGGTGTGTGTGTGTGTGTGTGTCTCAGTGAGTGAGTGTGAGTGTGTGAGTGTGTGAGTGTGTGTAAGTGTGTGAGTGTGTGAGTGTGTGCGTGAGTGTGAGTGTGTGTGTTTTACATTCTTGTACAACGGGATAAGAAAGCTTTAGCTGTACTTTTGTTTGCACGCTTCAGTTAGACCTTATACATTTTGAACTGGTAAACATTAAGAATAGCAGCAACAATCAGCATAGGCATGCAAGAACCTAGACATACGTGATGCAACCCGCAGTGTAAGCTTCTCGTCGGAGGCTTCTCCAACCGCATCGTTCTCGAGGGTGGCGCCATGGCGGTCAATGGTACAGTTGGCACAGAGGATCTGCAGGGGACCTGGGTTTCATGGGCTCCTTCGAACGCGAAGCCGAGAGCTTAGCCAGAAGTGCTAGAAAAGAGCAGTGCAGTTTCAGTTCAAGATGAGTAGTGCCGAAGTGCAAATTCTGGTGGCGCCCCCTTGAGGCCTCTCGTTGCCGGGCCCGACTGCCAGCCTGCCCAAGAGGAGCAGCTCGGGGGTGTCTTTGGCGCGATGGCCTTCCTGCAGCTGGCGGGTAGATGCCAAATCACATGCGTTTACCTCCTTCTGCTCGTGGATCAGATCCTGCAGACTGGGCTGGACTGGTTCGTACTTGTGGCCGCTCTGAAAATCAGTCGGACCAGAAGCTTGTTCTCTTTCCACTGGCAGCTTGCCACTTGCTGGATCAACTTCATGCTTAAGCTGGTGTTAGCACGAGCGGCTGCTTCGTGCTGCACCGCTGCTGGAGAATCTTTCCACGCGAAGTGGCTCAGCGAGCGCATAGTGACAGCCTCCAGCAAGAGCGTGATGCAGGACATGAAGGTGGTGGACCTTGGACTTTCGCATCAGGTTTGGGTGTTGCTTGCACTCCTGTGCAGCTCGCTTGGACTTCTCTGTCTGGTGCACGTCCGGTTGCCGCATCCCCTCTATGGACTCTTTGCGCTGCCCGCCTACATGATGGCATGTTGGTTCCTCTGGCAAAACTTCTGCCGTCGCGTAGATCTACACAGGAAGCGGCGTGAATGCCAAGTCTCCGTTTCCAAAGTGCTGCACGATTGCTTCGCACCTGGAGCTGCAGCACGACTCATGGCTCAGGACGGCATTCGACCGTTTTGTATCTTCTTGCTGTATATGAGAAGGTTGCCTGCTTATCCGAGATTCATACTGCACATATTGCATTCATCACCAAGCAGCTTTGCCTTCTCAGTCTGGTGGTGCTGACAGGAGTCGCATGTTCTGGAGGTCGAGGACGCCATGACTTCATCTCTGGCTATCACTGGCTCATGCATATGTTCCTGCATCCTAGGGCACTGTAGATTGGAGAGGTCCGCATGCTGAGCATCGACGCTGCCTCTTCACTGAATCTGCACATTAAGTCGCAGGAGGCGACCCTCAAAGCTTACGCTCGCCGATGTGCCGCCGCACCATCAGCGCCTGGGTCCCAGCTGTCCCAGAAAGAGTGAAACGAACCCCGGACCATAAACCCTAAACCCCAAACCCAAAACCCAAAACCCCAAACCCAAAACCCTAAACCCTAAACCCTAAACCCTAAACCCGAAGGCATGGAGCCGAAGGGGGGAGGGTCTCAGAGAGAGAGAGAGAGAGAGCTCTGCGAGGAGCCTGATGGTGCAGCTCTCGCTTTGCCTCAGTGCGGCGCGAATGCCTTAGT